TTGCTGGTCCATTCTGCATGGACCACAAGTGACTTGCAAACATGTCAAGTTTTACATACAGTGAATTTCCACAACAGAGCGTTTATTTTTAAGTGTCATTTCCTGCTGTAATGTGAGTGATATGGCCAAACCCAAGTGTGACGCTGCATGTATAACACTGTGTGGACCTTGAACTAATGACTAAGCAGAAATCTGGACCTTTGTGGCTGGACCAGTTGGGAACCACTGATCTATACCATCTTTCACAATTCACTATGGAGCAACTCCAGACTTTATACAATATGACATCACAAATTTGAGTTTTAGCACTCTAGCTTTTGTGTTTGGGAGAGAGGCGTCCATATTTACTACTATTTTTGGACTGTTTTAGACCGTGAATTTTGAAAATGGGCGTAGTTCCCCTTTAATGTTATTAGTATCGCCCATGCTTTTTCTACTATGACAAGTCAAAATGTCTGCTGTGAAAGGGCCCTATATTGTGCAAGGAGTTTATCAGATGGGGAAAAAAATAGAAAAAAAAACCCATCATAAAACATAAAACAGGCTGATAAGTACCGGTAGGTACACTGTACAGTGTAAACAACCAGAAAAAGAGGTGGGTATACCCTCCTCTACACCACTAGCATTACGACTAAGTGAAATAATAATAGCAATAATGAGAAAACAATGTCATTTATTGACACATCATTTTGAGCACTATGTTTCAGATACACTGCTAGGAGTAATACAGTCACATGTTTTTCTGTCTATGTAGACTTATTACTTGAAGTGTAGACGTAATTACACAAGGCATCCAAAGCACTAGGCAAAAGGTGATCAGGAAGTGCTCTCATAATTCCTGAACTCTGTGAAACAAGTTCCCTGAGAATGAGGAAATCAGAGTGTGTGTCTTCTATCGAGACACAGCAAAGACTTTAACTTCTTTAATCATAAGAATCAAGTCTCAAAAATATTATTACTTTGTTCTTTCTACTGAGAATATACAGGTTATATGTGACAGAAATATAGCTGTGATTATGAATAAATAGTGACACGTGCTTTGGGGTGCCCTGACATCATCCTGTAGGCCAGGTGCACTGGTTCAGTCAGGTTAGCCTTAAATGTGTACACATGAGTCTTCCCGCTGACCGGGCTGATGTTGTAGAAGCTCAGCCTGTGGGTCTTGAAACTCAGTCTGATCTCCAGCCTGCGTGATAATGTGGTCCTCTTCAGCGGCACATCGTGACCTTGCTCAAAGGCTGTCAGCAGGTTGTTGAACCACATCAGACACCAGGAGCTGCGGCTGCTCTCCAGAGCAGAGGGCACCCCGCTGCGTGCCAGTTTCCCACTGTAGCACACGCCGATGATCCACGGAGAACCCTCGAGCTCCACCTCCCAGCAGTGATCGCCTTCGTAGAAGCTCTGGGTGCTGAGGACCTGGAAGAGGTTGGTGAACCTCTGAGGAGAGGGTGGGTAGGGCTGTTTGGCAGCGCTGTAAGTCACCGTCTTCAAGTCCTCTGAGAGGACAAGGTTGGGGTGGGCTGTTTCTGGGTCAAAGGTCACCTCTGAAGGGTTGAGGGTGTTGCGAAGGGAGCGCTGAATCTCTCCAATGCTTTCCCTCAGCTCAGCGTTCATGTCTTCCAGCTTGGAGCAGGCTCGCGCGGGGTTGACTTTTGATTCAACGTGGTCGTCCTCTTCGCCCACAGGCTTGGCCATTAACTCCTCAATGTGTGGTTGTAGAGTCTGAAGCTCGTCACTAAATGCAGTCTCATCATCTTCAGTCAGGAGAGACTCTGCTCTGAGCATGGCTTGTCTAAGCTGCTTTGTCAGCTCTGTAGCTTGACTGACTCGACTGCCTGTGTTGGCCTCACCTGGACCTAACTCTTCTTCAATCAGCTGCATCACCTGCACGCTGTAGCTCTGTGACAGTTCTTTTATCTGTCCTAAGAGTCTGGATGCTTTCTCTCTCAGCTGACTGTTAGCAGTGGTCACCTCTAACTCCAGTTCCTTCTCCTTCTTCAGTACAATCTCCGCCATCTCCAGCTTGAGACTCAACTCTGTGACTTGAGATGCAATCCTGAATTTAGGTCCATCCATTTTCTTCCTGCCTTTGCTACTACCTACCTCTTGATCCAAAGAAATGGACCGCTCTGTGCATCCAGACCCAGATTTAAAGTTATCCTTTCCCTCACACTCTGAGCTCTCCTCTTGGCTTTCTCCAGGTGTTGCTCCATCCTGCTGGTGTTTTGTGTTTGATTCTTCTGTGACATCGCTCTTGATCGTCACATGGTCGTCATCAGAGGGGTTTGCAGTGGAGCTGGCTTTCCCAGCAGTGGCTTTGTAGGACTCTATGATGCTGCACATTTTGGAGCTTTTCACAAGAGCCTGGGTTCCTTGGTACTCCACCTGGCACTCAGGGCAGCTGTGCTGGTCGAGGCCTTCTTCCATGGTCTGAAGGCAGGCGAGGCAGTAGATGTGACCACAGGGAAGAGAAACTGGCTCAGAGAAGAGCTGCAAGCAGATGGGGCAAGTAAGCTCCAAAACTGAAGCTTCTGGATGATCCATTTTAGAGAAATGTGACTGAGTCTCACTCACAGATGTGGTGTCAGCCCCTAGGAAAAAAACAAAAACTTTAAACTTGGCTGACTGATTTGACTCTGTTTAGATTATAAAAGCTCTATAAAGTGAGTTGTAAATGTTGTATGTAAATGACCTAAGGGGAAAAAGGACTTCAAGTAAAACAAACAAAAAAGTAGTATTAAGTATAAAAAAGTATATAACATCGGGGTCATAGCCAGGACTTTAGTCAAGAGTCCCCTCACACTGACAAAATTATCACCCCAGATATAGTCAATTATATTCTTAGTATTGCATTTGTATTTGTTAGTTGTGTTCTGTTGTTGTCTTTGAATTTTATTCCCAAACATGAACATCTACAAGTTGAGAGACTGAATCCTTTTTTTTTCTTGTTTTTTGGCCTATAAGTAATCAAACTTAAATATCATTAACCCCCTAAAAGTACAGGAGTCAGTCTATAAAATATCCGACAAGTGTATAAAATATTCACTGTGACAAATTTTAATTCAATGTAATCTACTCCAGATTGCAACACCCCCCAAATTCCCACACAAAATACAGAGAACATAACATAAAGGGGCAGTTCACTCCCCAAAATCAAAAATACATACTCTTATCTGTAGTGCTATTTATCAATCTAGATTGTGTTGGCGTGAGTTGCTGAGTGTTGGAGATTTTGGCTGTAGAGATGTCTGCCTTCCATTGAATACAATGGAACTAGATGACACTCAGCTTGTGGTGCTAAAAGTGCCAAAAACGACATTTGAAAAACTCAACAGCAGTGTCTCTTTCCAGAAACCATGACCCCTTTACTCAAGATAATCCACAGACCTTGTTGTGAGCAATTTCATGCAGGAACTACTTTCTTTCTGCATCACTGTGGAGGAGGAAGTGTGCATCTACTCACAGATGAGAGATAGCAACAATAATATTCAAACTAATAGTTCAATATTGCTTGTTTATCTAAGCCAACATTACAGAGGATGCCATTAATGTGTCCCATCTCGTGGTGTCTCGTCTATGAGTAGGTGCGTGCTGCCTTCCGCAAGGTGATACAGATGGAAGGTGTAGTTCCACCCACTTTATACTGGAGAGAAGGCAAACATCTCTACGGCTGATATCACCAACACTCTGCAACTCACACCAAAACAATGCTGTTTTATAAATGCTGTGGAAGTAAGAGGAAAAATATGGATTTTTGATTTGGAGGTTAACTGTCCCGTTAACTTCTGCTGTTTTTGGAAAATGTGGGAGGTGTTGCAGTCTGGAGTAGATTACAAATGTAACAGCAACATTTGGTGAATATTTTTTACACTTGTAAGACAGACTTGCATATTTTTCCAAATGACCATATTTAATTTTGGTTACTTTTAGGCAAAAAAAAAACAACAAGCATTTTGATAATCATGTTGGGAAATTAAATAAAAAAGAAAGATACAATGCAAAACTAACAAGCCCCAAAATAATCTAGAGAAAAAATATATAGGCTAGTTTTAATTTTGAAGTGAACTGACCCTTTAATGCATCTTCCTTGCAGATGTAGAGACTACTGAGGAAGCTATGCATGACTAAGCACAGCTCAAGGCAACCATACAGTCTGTGTGTGCAACTAAAATCACATGCACAAGTACACAAGCAATACTAATCTTCCATGGAATGATGCCCATTCTAAATTGAACATTTTAGTCTCATGAAAATGTGTCTACTAACCATGAACAGTCAAAGCGAACAACGTAGGTCACATTTGTTTATGCGTGGTTTGGCAGCGCGTCTGTTTACGCCTTAGTAAAGTTTCGGTTTCCAGAGAACAGGACTTCCACGCGGCCAAATCACAAGTTTACATTCTTCAATTTAATCAGTCACACACACATTGTTTAGCATATTTTGCCGCAGGGTATAGCTCTGATTTCAACTATTATGGCATTACTTCCTTTACACATAATTAGGACTACATTTTAATTCATATGCGTCACTTAATGTGCATCACTACGGAAATGATAGCGGCACGCGGACTCATTACGAACAACTATAGACTGGCCGTCTTAAAATTAGCAAAATTATTACGTGGATGTAACAGACAACAGTTACTAAAGCCTTACCTCTTGCATGCGTGCTGTCTTGTGTCGAGTCTTCCTGTTCAGGTGTGTCAATAAAACGCACTGACGCACAGATGAGCGTTAAAATCCGCCTTTCAGACACACTGCACCATCATTTGCCTCATGGTGGATCTCAGTGGAGTAATCCATGTTGAGCAGCATGAATTCATTAGTGTGTGTTTGCCAGACCTTGACCCACTCTGCCCCAATATGGTACACCCCTCAGAAATGGCACGAGCATCTTAAATAAGCTTTTATTTTTAATATTTTTTTTTCCTATTGTTGCAAAAACACAGATTAAAGTAAGAATGCATAAACACCAGAGAACAAATAAATCAGGCTTGTATAAACAGTGCTGAAGTATTTTTAATTTATTCATATTTCTACATTTGGTTTCAAGGACATCAGCAAAACCCTCTCCACACAATTGGATGATGAAAGACACGCAAAAATAATAAATAAAACAGTCACTATAGTACAAAGGCACCGCGGCAGGCTACACCACTACTGTTCCCCTCCAGGGTCTGTTTACACTTCTCTAGAATAAAAGTCAGTCTGACCCACCTCCGAACTCATGTAGTGTACAAACATTTCTAAACTTGGCAGTTCCCTACCTAAAAGAAGACGTGTGAAATGTATATGTTGTGGTTTCATGATGACCATATGCTCAGATCAACTTGTTGTTGCAGTCCCTACATATTAAAATAAATCAATACTCACTTGCACACTTTGATTCAGCAGTGATCCCACCTGAAGTCTAGCTTCTCATCCAATGCTCTCATTACCTATGACTCAGGTGAGTCAAATGTAATTAGGAAACACTCTTGTGGTTGACAAAAACAGAGTAACGCTCAATACTCTGGGAAAACTCCACTTATCTCATATCTCAAACAGACTAAAATAATCCAAAGCAATTTAAACACATTCTCACACCATATTTGGTTGCTTGTTACATGTAGCTATAAAAAGTCTTCCCACGACACTCACGTCCAAACACACAGACATGTACACAACTCTCAACTGAATGAAGGATAACAGGCTTGTTTTGTAGCTGTGTGTGTGTGTGTGTGTGTGTGTGTGTGTGTGTGTGTGTGTCCAGGTCTGTTTAAGCTTTGAAGATGAGCTTCAAGACAAGACGATTACAGAAAACAGGCAGTAGTTTTGGTATATGAGGGATTTAGGCATCCCAAGTGTTTTTGGTGTTTTAAACTCATATTTTGGAATGACTATGATTCTGGTGCACACAATTAAAAAACAGTGAAACAGTCCAAAGGCATATTTGTCCAGTTGTGTCATGGTCAGTGGAGGATTTTCACAATAAAATAGCAAAAAAAAGTGTAAACAGCCACAGTCAGTGTAAGAGCACTGAGATAAGGACTGCATTATGTTTTATACACTTATTTTGAAATGTCGAGTCTGTGCATATTACGACTTGGTTTGGCTATATATCTTTATATGACGGGACAGTCACTTCTTTCTGTTCCAGTTTATTCCAAGTCTCACAAACAGGCACTACAGTTGGCAGGTCTATCAAAGGCAGTATTCAGGCATGCTGGGAAAAATCCTTTCAAATGCCTTTTGGGAAAAGGAGAGAACAAAGAGAGTATACTTTATGTGTCTTAAATCTTGTTTATGTGGCTTTTGGTAGAGGTGTGTGTCTACAGTAGTGCATCCAGGTCGAATTCTGGCAGAGGCTCCTTCCAATAGGCGAAGCTGCTGTACTCGGGACAGGCCAGAGCAGAGGACGTGCTGTTCCCGACAGAGAGCACGGGGAAGAAATGTTCCACCAGTTCACTCAGGTGGCTGTACCTGAAAAACACACACACACACACACACACACACACACACACACACACACACACACACACACACATTAGGATATGGGTAATGATGTCTTGCATGAAATCATGAGTTCTACCTCAGTTGGTGCAAACATGAGGAATTGTTAATAATTCACATTTCTTAAAGGGAGTATGGTGTAATATTTTCCACCAGGAGCAGGATGGGAAATCATCTCAAAAGGAATCTAGTTGTAGTCTTGCAAATACTGACCCTGCAAGATCCCCAGTCTTCCCAAACGCTAACAGTGTGTGAGTACAAACTGTTTTTAGATGTGAGAGGGTGTCACACATAAGCCTTCTAAAAGTCTTTTCAAAGTCTTCTCATGTATGCTAGACATAGGATTCACCAGGGTCAGAATCTGTAGCCTAAACAAGTTGAAAAGGGTGATTATATCTGTGTTCTGTTGCAGACTTACGAGGACTTGTTGCCTTTAGTCTTCTCCTGGATGAGCTCTCCTTTTGGGTTGACAGTAAATAACCTGGTATCAGGAACTCCAACCTGCTTGTAGGCAAAAGCATCCTGCAAAATAGAAAGTAAATACAGTTACACAGACGAGCTTCAGTGTGACTTCAACCTTTGCACCTTGTCTGTACACTATAAAGATTGTCTGGCTGTTATAGCACTAATCTATTATCATAAATCCTTACTCAGTGTTTACTTTAATTCCAGCGAGCAAACACCAGACCTTAATTCCACATTTCTCACACTTCATTTCTACCTGCTGGAGTATGTTACAGGAAGTGTAGGCTGCAATAATAATATTTAAAAACATTTAAAACACATGGGTGTGTTCTTTGTCTTTTTTTGTGCCAGAGGCTGAAATCACTGCCAAATGTGCAACTGTGCACCCTGAAAAACCTTGATAGAAAACAACTTGTTGCTGAAGGTTATTGCTGTATTAAGAGTCAGTCTGCAGTGTTGCTTACGTTAGTCCTGTTGCCGAAGGCTGCGTAGAAGGGCTGTCTCTTTGGGTTGAACAGATCCTTGATGTCACTCAGACAGGCAATTTTAAACACCTCTGGCTTCTTCTCAATAACCTCTCTGCACAAGTGAGGACAGACAGTTCATAGTCAAAATGGACATATGTTCAAGTGTCCCCTTACACATTTTTATGTATTTCAGCCAGTGTATGAGCAGATTTTTTTAACACCCCACGCAGGGCAATGCACCCTGCCAAATTCCGCGGACCTAAATCCAATCAAACATCCATGGGATGTGCTGATACACCAGAGGTACCCCAAATCCATGGTGGGGCTTCCTTGGAGCTGGGGCTCTGACATGTCAAGGCACGGACACACCATCTTTAGGGGTGTCCTATGGTGTCTGGCACCGGGCTGTTGGCTGCGGATCCTTTAAATCCTGTTGGTTGTGAGGTGGGGTACCAACATGTCCCCCGGATGTTTGATCAGATTGGGATCCAAGGAATACGGAGGCCAGGTCGACACCTTGAGCTCTTTGTCATGTTCTTTGGGCCGTTCCTGAGCAGTTTTTGTGGTGTGGCATGGTGCATTGTCCTGCTGGGGTTGGGGGGGGGTACTTGGTCCACAACTGTATTTGGGGTGGGTGAAACCCATCAAGAGGCGTCCTCGTGATGGCGGGGGACTTAAGTTTCTCATCAGAACATTTCATGGTAATGAGATGATCAATGTTATTCAATTCACCCTCCAGTGGTTTTAATTTTTTGTCTGACGGGTTGAGGTGTTTGTTGGATACCTCTTTAACATAGAGGAGTGGCCACTAGAGGTCAGCAGTACATCACATTGACTAGATAATTCAGTTTATTAACACCAGTCCTGATATACACTACCTGTGAAGTACTTCAGTAGTAGTATCTGTTACCTGTGTAGAGCTGAGAAGAGGCTGCTGGGGGCCAACAGCACAGGGCCTTGAGGGAGGACAATGCCTTTGTCATTGACCCAGTGAAGGTAGTCCTTAGTGATGGCAGCCATACCTATGGCCCGTGCTGAACAATACAGGAACTTATACCCATTTCTACAAGAAAGGAGCGACTATATTAGCATTTTAGTTTCATAAAACATAACAAAAAAATTCCACTTCTTCTTGTAACTGAGTTGACCTGTAGCATTAAGCTCCTAAATATTTACATCAGTACTATTCACAACACACATGTACTGTATCCTGTTCCTCTGGATTTGTGCAACAAAGGATTAGCACTTCAAACAGAATCCAATCCTTTTTCAATTAACTGAACAGCTGCGCTCGTTTTAAGAGCACAACATAAGGCATATGAAAATGAGGACAAACAGGGAAACATCTGGCGATGCAGATTAGACACTCAGCTGCAAGTAGAATTACATCAGACTGAAATCATCAACAGCGGATACTTTTTATCTGGTTTTGCTTGATATTGTGTGAGTAGTGTGTAGGAAAGTTCAGTTAGAGGAAAGTGGTGAAAAAAGGAAAAACTGTTTATGACAATGATGTTTTTTGCTCTTTGACTGCTATTTAAAAAAAAAAAAAAGTAGTTTCACATACTGGTGTATTTTGTGGTAGAGTTTGGCGATGCCTTTATGTGTCCAGTCTTTCCCAAACTGAGGTAGAATATGACCCAGAGCATCAGACCTGCAGGAGACAGCCAGTGAAGACTACTCATACAGTAAAACTGTGACAACAATGTAGGTTCAAACAATGTTTTATAGTGATCAACAACTATTAATTGCTTTGTATCAAAATTACTGTCGGGCTATCTATGCAGCATAGTTTGCAAAGGGAAGACAGCTGTTTTTACTTAGTAATGGTGCCATCTATGTCAGATATGATGACACGATCGTTCCAGTTCCACAGGTAGATGGCAGCCTCACAGCGACAGGTGCCCTGGTATTGTGTGGTCACACTGAACACCACCTTGTTGGCTCCGTCACGCAGGTTTAAGTGCTCCTGGTTATGAGAAAGTAGAATTAGCTGGGTGTACAGTGGTTGTCCTCTACGTTCAGTAGATAGCAGAGTAACATTTTTGAGTAGGTGTATGAATGTGTGTGTGTGTGTGTATCTCTTACGATCTGTTTAGAGGTTAGACGTAGTGATTTGCGGTACATCTGGGTGATACACTGAGCGGCATTAAGTGTTTCTTGTGACAGGCTGGAAGGAATCATGGCTGTTCGGCCGAGGCCTGCCGCTTCATCGCTGTCAACGTCATCCAGTGTGGCTCTGGAGAAACAACACACATCCAGTTACCATATTGTGTCTGAATTATATTTGTCTGTCTCAGCGAATCTATTTATAATAATTGATAAGTTACAAACACTACATGACACAAAAAAAAAACTTTCACATGGTGATCTTTATCATTGATTGGCCATCAGATAACTTCACTTTGTCAAACACTGACGTAGCTGCTCATGATAAAGTGTCATGGCAATTGTTTTTGAGAATATTGAGTAATTTACTATATGGGGAGAGCTTTGGCACACTCTGGTGGCTGAAAGGTAAACTACACGATAAGAGTCTGACACACAAAACACAAAGAAATCTAATAATGATGATAATTTTGCCCCACTTGACCAGTTCTTCTATTGTGGTGCCTATGCAGCTATGTAGAGGATCCATCTAAAGGTGACATGTATCTCCTCACAAAAAAGTAACTACATAACAAGTAAAAGCTAGGAGAAGAGTGTAACATCTGTGGTTGGTTTACTTGGGTTGCTTTTATTTTTCTTCTATGTGTTTGTTCACAGGCGATACTTGGAATTTAAAGAAATTCAGCCGACGTGATCCAAGTCCTGACAAAATTCTTGATTTGACACATGAATGAAACTAATGCTGAGCTGCAAACAAAAGCAAGTATTTCTGTCCAGAGCAATGGCTTATTTACAGAATTGTTAAATTGTGTGCATTATGACAACCAAATAAACAAAATAAAGATGAATGAACATGTACTGGCAGTTCTTATATTAGCCCTCAACAGCAATAAGTTTGAATGTCCTGAAGTACACTGAATCATGAGCGAAAACAGCTGTGGTTCAGATGGACCAGATGCCAAGTGAAACACAGCATGTAAGGTTTATTAGTTTGTGTTAGATCATTTCTTAGTGAGGTCACTTACTTAATTGTGTGAGAAACACTCGGTAGTGGCTCCTCCTGCTCCTCCTTTGAGCTCTTTTGCTGAAAAACATGCAGTTTATATTGTGATAATTCAAACCTGATCATTCATCACGTGTATTAAATAAATATATAAAAAATATATATAAAAAACAACGACGTAGAATGGCAGTGGTGTGTTGTTGTTTTTTTTACAAACAGACCAGTTGCCCCTGACTTAACCCTTCAATAACTTCCATTCCCAAGTCCTTCTATGTCCCACATGGACAGAGCATAAAACCAACCCTAGCTATGCAATGGATGAATTACTGCATGTAATTACTGCAGGTGCAAACATGTAACATTTGTTGTCTTGCAGCCACACTATTATAACTTAATGAATAAGTGTAAGCAGGAAATATACCTGACTATTGTCCATGTCTCTTCTCCTCCAGGAGAACCACCAGCGCCCAGACTTTTTGGGCATCTTATCCTTCACCAGCCGCTCTATCGTACTCTATATGACACACACACACACACACACACACACACACACACACACACACACACACACACACAAAGGACGTAACGATTACATTTATCCTGTCAACATATTCACCAGCTAACTACGATCTTACCTGTCTTATGCTGTTGATGTGTGCAATAAAACAGCAGCTCCATTTATAACTGGACATTAAAGAAGCCTAAACAATAAACATTACTGAGGTCAAGTGTAGAGACAATGAAATACCTTTGGTAGGTTTTTCTGGAAAGTTGTCATTGATAAGACCATTGGTGCAGCCACTGCCCAGTTATAATAGCTGTGAAAGAGAAAACCAAGCTGATGATTAGTCACGGATATAAACTTGTTTGAGCACTGAAGAACATCCACAGTGAAACAATGACATGTTTGAAATGCATTGTACTTACTTGGAGTTGATGCAGATCACAAGGTTTGGATCCTCAATGATTCCTGGATTGCTGGCAAAATCCTGGTACGTCACAATGTGCTCCATAAACTTCTCTGGATTAACAGTAAAAACAACAGGTGTTACTCCACTGGAAAATCCCACCCTCCATGTTCTAGCTTATTTGATTCACTCTCACTCACCTTTAGTGATATGGCTGGTGTCGCCCTCTTGTCCGCAGAGGGACATGCTGACGTCCATTTGATAGGAGGCAGAATCTGAGAGGTACTCGGTCCCGCTGTCCATGGCCCCACTGCCCACTGACTGAGGTGACTGGCTTCCTGAGCAGGAGCCCTGCTCTGCCCCGTGCTGAGACGCTCCCTCAGTCTCGCTGCAGGGAAAACATGCACAATTATTAGAGTTGTTTCAAAGGTAATCAATCACCGTGGATATTAGTGCCTTGAAAAATGTATTCATATGCAAGGGTTGAAAGAAAAATCACACTTCTTACCTCTTTGGGAAATAGAGTGCAGCCACCTCAGGATCCAACTTGGTCAAATCATCCAAGTAAATATCTGTTGGTCCCAGATGGTGATTACGTTTACCTGCAACAAAATGACACGAGCTCAACTGGTGAACATTAACATAATCAGTATATTTTAACGTAACTTTGAGCATGTAAGGACACAAATTAAAAAGTAACATAAAAGAAAAACACGTCACCTTTCTTCTTGTCCTGCTGCTCCACTCTGGAGGATGCCTCTGATGAGTTTGCTAACCCCTCTGTTTTATTGGTCAGTGAGCCTCCTGTTGACCCTTCAGTCCCTCCAGGTCCACCGTCCTCCTCTCCCACCTCAGCGCAGGGATCTATCCCACTGTCCCCCTCGCTGACAGGAGCACTGCCGGTGGAACCCTGTTCGCTTTGCTCCGATAAGGTACCCTGCTGTTGTGGATTTGATAACTCTGTACTAATGAGATTTGTTGCAGTGACTGTGCTGTCTTCGCTTTCATTTATGGGCTGTCTTTGTCCACTATTTGGTTCGGTCACACCGTCAGTCACAGTGTTATTATTCTCAACACTGATATTTTCTTTGCTTGCAAGAGAATCTGTGCCATTAATTAGATTAGCTGAAGAAAAAGATGAGTCTCTGTTCTCTGTTTCCCCTAATGTGGATACAAGTGCCTGTGCTGAGTCTTCATTAGTCTTCTCTGATGATACACAAGAGTTGGAGAGGTCAGTGGGGGTGGAATGGGTGAAGTGAGAGTTTGTCTCTCTGGACAAAGGGGTGGTCTGCACAGCATGACTACCTATGTCTAGGGACTGAGTCCTGGGTTGTGGCCTGACCACTGTTACACTGCCCATTCTGCCACAGCTGATCACAGGCTCACAGCTCATGTCAAAGGAGTCCTGTCTCTCAATGGTGCGGAAATGAGAACTGCTGGAGGGGGAGATGCGCTGTAGCTCCACTGGAGCCCGCTCAGATTGACACAGCTGAAAGGAGAAGGGCAGAGAGAGATTGGAGACAGGGTGTCAGCATCTATAGCATTACCACAGCTTGGGTTGGCAGTAAAGGCGCATCTACATCTGTGTGTGTGTGTAAGTGTTGCCATACCGTGGGAAAACCTCCCCAGTTCCACTGTATCTGAGGCCCAGATGACTCTTGGGATTTCACCAGAAGCTCTGAGTCACTCTTAGGAGAGGATGGTCGGCTGAAGAACACACTGCTGTAAAGGAGAAAGATAGAGACAGATAAACCAGTATGACTTCATCTCTGTCAACTGACACTGTTTCTCAATTTACTGTAAAGATGAACCATCCCCACCTTTCAGAGGGTGACTGCTCTCCCTCTGAGTGTGGATGAGTGTCTCTAGTCTGTGTGGCCCCCAGCTCCTCATTTGGCTCCTCAGACAGCGAGTAGTACACTGATTTACTTTAACACAAGCAAGAGGATATTTTTTACCGACTGATAGTGTGAACACTGAACCACATGACTCCTTATAAAAGGGTATCCATGTTGACAGTCACACGCCAGCCACATCCACACTGATACATCCTCGTTGATCTTTGTCCAAACAAGCTTTTTGCACCATTTCAGAAATTATCTCCATCGATACTAACACACCTGAAAACACATATCACATGACCATTTGTGTACACTGGGCATGCATGTGCTAATGTAAACAGGAAGCGGTTTGCCTACTCTGCCGCTAGTTGCTTAGTTACAGAAAATAACACATAGATGGCGAAAAGTGAGACCAGAGATTTATTTGCTTGGACCGAAGACAGGCTGGAACTGTTACTGGGATGGGAAAGGGGTAACATTGCCCACACAAGAATGATAAAATCACAAAAGGTAGGAGATAAGTCATGACTGATAAGACTAAAGCTGCACATAAATCAACTGATTATTTTTAACTATTGAATTTATCACCAACTAACTACTTTAATAATCGACTAATCGGATTGGGTAATTTTTTAAGTAAGAAAACAAACTAAAAATACTCAGATTCCAGCCTCTTAAATGTGATTACTTTCTGGTTTCTCTACTCTTCCATGACAGTTCACTTAATATCTTTGTGTTGTGGACAGAACAAAACATTTGATTTCCCACCATTTCCTGTCATTTCATACACCAAACAACTAACTAATTAATGAAGAAAATAATCAACAGATTGAACAACAATGAAAACAATCATTGGTGTCAGCCTAAGATTCAACCCACTCGGGAAGTAGACATGGGTGTCTGCATAATCATTTTCATTTCTGCCCGTCGAGAATAAAACGCAACCCTGGACTTTTTAAACTTAAGTGCGGTCAGTAGCATTTTCAAAGGTCTTTGTTTCAGGGGTTCCAAAACGCCAGAATAGTGTGGACGCCAGGCTAGTAATAATTATGCGTTTTAAAACAAAGATGTATTAGAGTGGATGTAGCCTCACATTATGTGGCTTTCGCTCATTGTTTCTCTCTGGCAGCTGCTGTTCTGCACAGAAAATGTAATCGTGGCCAAAATGCTGAAACACTAGGACACCTTTACCAAAATATAACAATGTCAGCAATTATAAAACCTATTTCAAGTGTGCACTGTAAAAGCAAAAGCACTGCAAGTCCTGGAAGTTACTGTCAGTAAAGCTCTTTCCTCTTTTTTAATCACTGACCTGACTTGCAGTGGTAAGGCGGACTCATCCTTAGCAGGGCTCTCCTGCCCGGCCTGATCACTTTCTCTCTCCCACTCCTTCTCTCTTTCTCTCTCATCTGATGAGGAGGTGGCCTCTTCTCTCAGGTGAGAATCGGAACGCACGCGTTTGCGACGGCGTTTCTTCCTGCGGGCACCTGACCCGGCTATGGAGGATCCCTCGGGGGTCTCCTCAGTCTCCTCTGACATTTCAAGAGGAATTGGGGAAGTGCAAAGATGGGCTGGGACCTGCAACTGAAGGGCATGAAAAGAAATGTTTGTCATGTTAAGTTAAAGATAACAGACCCCCCAAAACTGATGCAATGTTACAATGTTCCATCTTACCTCCATGTTTTCATTTTCCTCCACAAAAAAAGCTTCCCCATTGTCACCCAGCTTCATGTGCAGGTCAACTGACTCTCCATTTATCTCAATGTCCACCTAAAATCACAGCGATGCATGCACAAGTCAAAGAATAACCAACAGCTGAGAAACAGAACTGAAAGAATTAAATGAGCAGAAGAGAAAAACACTCACAATTTTCTCCTTGGAGCGCAGCACGCCCAGCTTGCCGAAGCGGACGTGAAAGGGGGAACACTGGAAGGATCCATCAGGCTGTCGCACCACAATGACATCAATCCCTCCTGTGAGAGTGGCGGGGTTAAGGCCACGGTACAGCTCCTTCACCGTCACAAACACCGTCTCCGCAAACTGACCCACAATATTCATGGTTTGGGACTGGAAACAAACAAACAAAAAAAAAAACAAGAAGTGAGAACAGTGAGGCCAAGTGTTGCGGCACAGGAACAAAAAGTGTCTGCATTCAGTTTTTTCTGTTGACTGTTGTTTAATCCTTCATCCTTTTTCCACAATGTCAACAGCACTCAATAACAATGTCATCCACTGGTAGTAAATACAAATGCTGCTATTATAGAATTAGAACTCATTAAAATTGTCATCAAATTAACTGAACTAAAAAGCAAACACAAACAGATGGCATCATTCAAGAGGGCATATTTAGCATCTACTTCACTAAGTATGAGTTAAAAGGCTTAATATAGCACAGCTGCCTGTCAGCAAACACAGTTCTTGTGTTATATAACCCACTAAAACTCACAAATCACAAGATTTCAGCGTTTTAGTCCAAGTGACCTTTCCACCAAGGTTTGCTCCAAACAAAAGGATGGCCCTTGAATGACTGCACGGGAGGTATTTCTAATGTTTTCGTTTTTATTAATTTTACTTTTCTTTTAGCAGAAGTCCCAGTGAGATCAAAAATGTCATTTACAATAGAGACATGGCCATTGCAGTAGTCATGCAAAATTAAAACATATTAAAGTACAACATATAGAACATGATAAACAAAAATCAAAACAGAAGAACAGCTATTCAACAGAGAGGGATCTCAAGAAGAACATCCACATGCCTCAGTGACCACATTCTTTATGGTGCCCTTAAGTTAAGTTATTCCATGCCCAAGGTGCACAGCAGGAAAATGCAGTTTTCCCAAAATATGTTAAAACCCAGGGTGCATAACTGCCAGAGTTAAGACAGATTAGGGTACAGAGGTAAGCTGAAAGGATAAGATTAAAATATACATACATATATAGAGATTGGTTTCTCTTAGACAACAGAACTACTGAGAACCTTATCTTGGCCTGCCATGATGATAATGTGAAAAGGTTCAGTTCAAATGTAGTCAAATAGACGCAGTGAAAAATATGACTCATTCGGCCACACATCTCCACACCCTGAGACAAGTGTGAGATCATGTGGACAAGTTGTAGCTAATTTCCAAAATCAGTTAGGTCTAAAAAAAACCATCAATACAACTCCTCCCATTATGTATAAATGCACCGAACATGTTCTACAAAAAGCAGCAGTCAAGGAGTCAAACTTTGCCAGAGGCTACTGAAAACATCACATTTGGCCTAGTTTGGACCTGCATCAACACTGAGCCCTTGTCATACATAGACAGTGCCACCATAGCCAATGACCTTGTAATACTATTTTAAATTTAAATTAATGTGACTGATGTGAATAATAATAACAAACTGAAGCTACAAACTGGAGGAAAGAGGAGGTGACCTTCACTGTAATATTGGGTATATCTGATTTGATGCTTAAAAAAACAAAGCTTACACATACACAACACATTATGCTTATAATGATTTGTTTTTTGTTGACACACATAATAACTATAAGAAGCCAACCACTGACCCAATTTAGAGAACGACTTTGATTAGCATAACCACTTTATATTCCTGAACAAAAACATCAGAAACAAATGCCTACACAATGACTCAAACTTGTCCACAGGATCATCTGTCCAAAGTCCATATGACTAATCTCACGTCTTACCCACAATGAAGGATGAAGATGTCCCCTCCCAACCAGGCTGTGTTCCCTTGACCTGCCTTCTGCCATACGACTTCACTATAAAGGCTTTTCCCTCCACTGGAACTCAGGAACAGTCTCAAGAAACTTTACCTCCATTTCCACCAGAGGAACCTGTCAACACCATTCTGCAGAAAGCTCGGCTGCCTCTCAAGGCGAGGGCCAATGACCCCCCCCCCCCCCCCCCCCCCCCCCCCCCCCCCCCCCCCCCCCCCCCCCATATCTGTCTGGAGATGTAAGGCTACATTTTGTTAGCTTTGACAACTGCGATGTCGCTACAGAAGTTGGCACAGTCGATTATCACTGCTAAGCTAAATAGGACTTTCCACTTGATAAGTGGTCATCAGAGATGACAGCGCTCTAGTCCTTTCCGTAGTGAGCTAGGACGCAAAATATAGCAATCTATGAGAGAGAGTCCTAGTATATTCAGTCACACACCGACACTTCCTCTATCTCACACAATTTCACAATCATATACGTGCTCTCCTGTCACACTGAATTCATACTTCCCCACTTGCACTACACATGACAGCCAGACCAGCAGTTTCTGAAAGGCTCGGACAGGCTATTCAAACACGCTTGGCATGAAAACGCACACACACAAACTGATCGACCACACAGTTTCTGGGCTCGACCACAGCTCTCTGGGCCATCAGAGATGAGGGGACTCTCCCATGGTCATGCTCTACCAACACTGGAAAACCCTTCATAGGCTTAGTCAGTCTGGGAGGAACTCAAGCAAATAACGTGCAAATTGTGATGGACATCACCGTGTGTGCTGCCCATGGGAGAGGACACGATAGAAAGGTAGGCCTGAGTTGGAAAACAATGTCCAGCAAAAACTCATTAGAGATGAAGATAATCCCTGCTGTGCAGTAAAAAAGAACAAACAACATAAAACTCCACTCTTGCCAATAATGTGACTGACCCAACGGCTCAAATATAAAATATGAGTGTGCAGCCCATCATCCAATTTGAATTACATCTTTCTGTGCCCATTCAGGCTTTTGTATCTATATCTGATTTAGTGATACTTAACTGAAACTGCCAGGTCAGCTGTATTTAGAAAGTGGGAAGAACAAAAGCCCACAGTAGACAAAGGCGGTGAGAGATGACAAAATGTAGGGCAGTAGACGGCAGCAGGCGGGAAAGACAAGGGGGTTAATAACTACTTTAAAAGGATCTGTTTTCATCTGTAGCTGCATGCTGTTTCTAATGCATTAAACACATTCCTGTACTTATCCCTCATGTATATACTGGCATGAGTCCAAGCTTCACTGCCTCCAAGTTCGCCTCGATGAGGAATTCAGACTGATGACGCTGACACTAGAGCTGCAAATAACCATTATTTTCCTTATGTATTAATGTAGATTATTATTAACATTAATTGATTAATTGTCTTGTCTCTAAAATGTCTTGAAGACAAACTACCGCAGACTGCCTGATGGTCTACCTTTCTTTCGGCCATCATTAGATTTGCTTGATGAAACTCTAGTTACCAAAACATCACAATAAATTGATTATTTTTACAAGTTAGACAGTGTGCAGGTTTCAGGGTGTGTCCTGCTTGTCCCTCTCCTACGCCCCTGTTTTAAAATAGATGTCAAAAAATCGTGAAAATTTGTGTTAAGTTCTGTTATGTGACATTTTCAAATGTCTTGTTTTGTCCAACCAACAGTCCCAAACATGACTTTATATTAAAATGCCATTTTTTTAAAACTTTTTTAAGCAGAGAAGCCCAACCAGGGACAGGAGTCGCAAATTAGCCTTGGCTAGAAATCCTTCAAAAACAAGACACAACACGCTCACTCACTATTAAACTTTCAAGACAGGGTGCACTCCACTCCACTGAGTGTATGTAAAATACTAGACAATGTATTTGAAATACATTTGTAACCTGTTGTGATGTGTTTTGCATTGCCCCTGACAGAATAATCTCATAAATAAATACATACAGAAAATATTTGATGAAGCTCTGAATGGTGAGAAGGCATAAATTTGACTTTTTTGTCTCTATTAAATGCCTTAATTCTGTTAAGTGCCAACATTTTAAAACCATTTCAGCACTGGTTGACACACTGTCATTCACACACTTCCATATGTGCCTAGTTACACGTGTGTCACAGCCAGTTTTACCAGCCAAGTGTGTACAGAGAGTTGTCATAACTTTTGCTGACCTTTGCCTCCAAGGAGACAAAGCCAGGCAAAGGTTACCTCACTTCAGTGCAATGTGTTTCAGCGTGTCTGTCACCATCTCATGACCACTGTTGCACAGAAATACTCTAAAATGTCTCTTACTTCAGATTTGACAATTACATAATAACGTCATCAGTGACAACACTGAAAAAACTCAGTCCCTCGGGATACAGAAGTCATTTGGTGAAGGTTTTGTGAAGAGTTCAATGTAAGACAGGGATTTTAAAATGTGAAATAGTGTTTTAAAGACAGTTATATTCAGTATAAGTGACCCATGTGTTGATACTGTATAAAATGCACACAACTTGAGATACACCACAAATTCATACAACTTCCGCAACGGCTTTACGTATCACCGTATGGCGCAATCCCGTGTTAGTAAGTAAAACTCTCGACACGTACAACACTAGAGAATTACAAAATTTCTCTACACTTAATTCAAACATTTTAAAACTAAAGACACGTCTTATTTGTGACCCAGCTAAAGCCAAACCTTCAAGAACTTCATTATGAATGTGCTTTGTTTGACAGTGAATTCAGAGATGATGCATTCTTAACGACTTTACTTCAAACGACGTGTAAGTTACAGCAAGTGAGAATAATCGTTAAAATGGGCGAAACTCTTGGTGGATAATATATTTGACGGCTGCTAACTGTGTTACAGACAGTTTATCCTGTCTGTGTTGATGCTGAAAGAGTGTAGACAGCTGCTTACCTTTCGGGTCGCTTCTCAGGTTCAGAGACTAACAGCCATCCTGGATGCTTTCTAGTGTTCTGCGTCTGCGCGGCACATACGTCAATCACTCCAACAGCCAATGAGAAAACTGGAAAAGAAAGCATGACCTGCCTCTGATGTTAAATTGTAAACAAAGCCTTCAGTGATGGATAAATCCCCTAGGTTTTATCTTATCATTGTAATAAGATAAGGGATAAAAAGAACAATATTTTACAATCAATAAACATAATTCTTCTGGCACTATCTCTGAGAACAGAGCTCCTATTTCAACTAAAACAAATCATTTACAAAACCTTACACACTGATGTGTAAAGATTAACTCAAAGTTTCCTGCACAAACAAAAAAACTTAAGCAAAAAGCAGGTTGCTGGCTTACAAATTCAGCTTCATCATGTCCAGTCATGCATTAGTATTGCTGCTGAACATATCTGAAATGCAAATACAGGAATATTTGTTTACTCTCACATTCATGTGGTCTTTCCATTACATTATAAAGTATATGTTACACACTAGAGGACAGTAAAATAAATGGGCAGTTTTAGATAAATGGGCTGTCAGGAGTAAAGCACATCTTGAACAGCAGACATGGACAACAGACTTGACCAAAGTGTTCCTCCTCTGCTCTGTGCAGACTCAGATTTTACTGAGCTCGGTCTGTGGGTGGAAGCTTTTCTATCCTGTGAATCCACAGGTTGCCACCCTGTAAAGAAACATTTAGCCTTGGCTGGAGGCAGAGAATTGGATGGTGTATGGGAGCTCCTGAGGCAATACTGATAAAAGCATGAGGACACAGTTTGGGTCAACAAAAAAATGATGGTATAGGAGCTGTGTATAAATATCTGTCACATAGAGAGTTTATAATCAATGTTGTACTGAAGTTGCACTGCATTTACTGTGGTACAACCTAACTGAACTCTGTAAGCAACTGATAGCAAGTGATAACAAAGATGTGGTTACATTTTACTTTATCTCTAAGACTCTAACCACTGTGAGATATTTCTCTCTATGAGTGCATGATGAACTGTGAAAAGCATTTGCATAACCACCATACTGCATGTGTGCCTCACAACCTCATGTGTGTGGAGCCAGACTGAACTATTAAACCACCCTCGCATATTATTTTTGCCCACACCATCATTCATTGAAGGGTTTTCAGTGTTTTAGAAATGATAACATAGTGTGGCCCAGCAGAGGGCATCACTGCACCTGCACAAAGCTCCATTAGACAGAGAGGCCTCCTTTCTTTGCCTGAACGCTTCAGCTCATGCCCTGTAATCTCACGAAAAGTACAATATTTTGAATTTTTACTAAATTGTGAATACGCTGCATTGAAGAAATGAAAATGTGCTGTTTTGCTGCTTTAATGATAAATATATACACATGAAAAACAAACAAAAGACACAAGCGTAGAGATATGTGGTGAATTGTAATGTTTAATTTGCAAAAGGTCGGATACTTGTATCAAAGAACTGTATCATCATCAGCAAACCGAGAAGACTATATTTTCATTTATTGCACAATAAGATAAAGCACATATTAGATGTATGATATCCATATAAATGACAAAACACACAAAGGGCTAAAAAATATTATTTGCAAGATACCCCACCCAAATGACACACACTTCTTCTACTATATTATACATTATGCACTGCCAAATGAAGGAAATAAAGATGTTACACATGAATTCTATCAGGACAGTAAGTATTTGATATCCTCACAATATCTTGACAGAAAAAAAACAGGCTCATTATTTCTGGCAACGCTTACACTGGAAAGCAGCTTTGTCAGAGTAAACAGCTGCCAAAAAACATCAGAGCACATTTTCTTACAGTGAATAATTGTCAAGCAGGTCTGCGCTTCTTTAATAAAACACGACGAGACAAAGTGTGAGAAACCACAAAACAGATGTTACCTCCGTGACATAATTTAAGGTGTGTTCCCTGCACTTTCAGGCCCCAGTGATGGGCCAGCCAAACTGCCTATTTAAGGAAAGCCACGGCCTTACAACAGAAACACTGGCTTTCAAAAGCTGATCTGCATCTACTCACAACTCTCTGCCTCATGTTTCCACACTCCACCATACAGAGCCTCCTCTAAATGTTTGGGCCCTTTTTTCTAAATAAGGCAGCCTTATCGTAGTTCCTGTCATTTCTGCCTTTTTTCCCAAACATCCCGAGCAGCGTCTGTGGCAGTAGCAGGCAGCAGCCTGTGCATTCTTTTGCCTTGTATGGAGAAATGGCCTGGCCTGAGATGTCTTTGTATGGGACAGGCCGCCCTCTCTATTGGCCAAGCCAGAAAGGGGAGGGACCCACCGGGAGTCTGATTCTTTAAACAAACTTTCCAGTAGGACTGCCTGCTTCCCTTCGCACTGCTGTGTTGGACCCAGACAAAAGGAGTTTGAGGGACTTCTTGATATTTCTACCTGAAGCCAAGGTGAGAGAGAAAGCTGATTTTACCACTGGGTTGCATATTATGTATACAAAGTGTTAAAAATCTCATATTTTATGTGTTTAAAAAGGACTGAATGTGTAAATGATCTGAGTACAGTGGTACAATGCCCAACTGTGCTGAGAGTGAAGGGGAGCATACAGTTACAGAGAGCTTCAGTGGATCTTTGATTAAAGTGACCAGGTAAGCTAAATTAGAGCTGATGATCAAGGTGAAGAGAGACCTATAGAGAATATTCACCTCTGACCTGTTTGTATGCTTGTGTATGCAGCTTAAATGCACTGTATGCATGTGTGTTTACTTCCATCCCATCACTACGGCACATTAGACACAGGAATTTCTGAATGCAGCTGACCCATTTAGATCTCACACACACTCCCCTGAACGCACAGGCGTGCACACCTCTCATGTTGCCTTTTTATAGACGATGAAAGCTTAACTTCCACTGTTTGTTTTTGGAATTCCTGACCAGTCTTAACTTGAGTAGTGGTGACCTACTAGACCTGGAGTTAGGGTGAGGGATGGCAGCCTGACTGTTTGGTGATATCAAAGTGTGTATGTGTGTGTGTGTGTGTGTGTGTGTGTGTGTGTGTGTGTTCTTGCTGGGCGAAGGGACAGAGGAGCTTTGTCGTCCCGCTGGATGAAAGGGTTCACAGAGGAGCTGTGGTGGACAGAGAACAAATACGATTGTCAGTACAAGCCAAGATGAGGCACATCAGCCAAATGCTTACGTCACTGCAGTCTGAGCCAGTTGTTCTCTGCCTCTTTGTGAATCATTCACTCTGTGGAGAATGCGGAACATTTCAGCTGTTGCTTTTCCTGCACCTTGAAACTGTAAGTTGTGAAATAATCCCCCTTGTCAAAGACTCTATCTCACTGATTGCTTGAAACAGAAACAGAGTTAAGCACCAGTCAGCCCCTCCCAGGAGACTGTACCCCAGCTGTATCAGTGGAGCCAAACAAGAATGAGAATGTGGCATTCCTCTGTTCCCTGAAACCTTAAATTGGGAGCTAGATGCTGTTTTGTTTCCAGCTTCCTCCGCAACTGTTAGATGGAGAACAGAAGGGCACTGTGCCAACAACACTCACCTTCCAGATTTCTTCTTTTTTTTTTCTGGTACATGAAGGGACAGGAGCCGCCAAACAGTAGTGAAATGAAGAAAGTCTGATCCAGCATGTGTCTGCACTGTGAGAAAGGAAAGAGTGTGTGCGTGTGTGTGTGGCATTCAGAGTAAGTTAACCACAAGTACAAGAATTTCCTTCCTGTAATGTTCCTGAGAACATACAAATCCATTTTTGGTTGTAATGACTTTATGGAAATGCCACTGTGAACAATTAAGTTATTCATCAAGGTTATAAACACTGGACAGAACGGGCAGGTGATACTTAAATTTGCATTGAAAATAAAAGCTAGAATTCTGCCCTCTTGATACGGTAGCGCTCATTTGTATAAAGATAAATCGAGGAAGAAAGGTCCATATACACAACATAAAAAAAACTGCTATAAAGCGACAGGCAAAGCTGCTCAACTTCACAAGCTTTTCTGAGTGCAACCATACAAGCAACAGGGACCACACACAAAAATTACTACTCCAGCATATAAAATATGATGACAGACAGTGTCACACAGACAGTGTCCTTGGAGACAGAGATTTGGTGGACATAGGACAGCATACAAGCTATTTATAAATGCTGGAGCACACTGTGCTATAAAATACACAAATGTATTTTACTGCCAAAATACAACAATGTTTTAAAATTTGGTGGTAACAGGAAAAAAATATATTTAGTATTTTATTCCTTTAATTCTGTGATTTTCTTACATAAAAATGTATTCATTATATATATTATTTGAATTTGTGGCAAATGTGTTATGTATGTTCCATTACAGTCACAGAATGTAATTATATGGTAATTTTGCTCCTTTACTTATTTAAGTGATTGGGAATAAAGGATCCTGCCTGGGGAGAATATCTACCTTATATCTTAATTACCAGAGCCCACTGAAGATCTGCACTCTTAACTTAATTACAAAATTAACTTAATTTACAAAATTTACAAAATTGCATCTATTATCTGTCTTATCTTTAACAAACCTGAGTGCAGTCGAGGAATTTTCAGTTGCTGTAATGTTTGAATGATAGCATTTGAGAGGAAGTGACTTGTCTGGACATGATTAACACTCTGGGATCATCAGTAATTATAGCTTTCTAGTAGGACTAAGATGCATTTGAGAAATAGTTTTGTGCTGAGGCCAAGCCTAATGTTGCTGCCAAAAAACAAAGAAAAAAAGGGTACCTTCATATATCTACATCTGTTTGACTTTCACAGATATAAGTTTGCTAAAAAAAAGTACATTTCAAGGTGTAAATTAAAGACTGAAAACTAAACCTTGCATGTCAGTAAAGGGTGTGCCATCTCACAGCTCACCTGAGTAAATGATCTCATTGAGTGAGTTAGTCCCATGTTCGGTATTCACATCACCTCAGCGCCTCTCAGGGCATGATGTCATACCTCATATGTGACAAATCAGCCGCATTCACCTGCTGCCTCCTGCCCGTCCAGCCTGTCCCTCTGTCTGCCGTTTCCCACTGGGTATAACACAATCACAGAACATGCATGACAAATCCTTGCAGACCTGAACGTGAGTGACAGGTCTAATTCTGGAAGGATGTGAAGTTAGCTGCAGCGTGCACTGTGGAGACATGTCGTTTTCACACCCATCACTGTACCCGACATTTAGGGAGAGTGTGATTCTCTCTCTTGAGGAAACAAGAGTGGAAAATTCTCCTGCTTGGGGAAAAAGAGAGAGGAAATATAAAAGAGCCACATGGCTGCAGTGCTCCAGTTTTTGGCACTGTGAAATGCAAAATATCAAATTTAACTCATCTTTTCAAACTGATGCTGAAAACAGTCTTGTTAACAGGTGATACACCCGAGCTGTGTTGTCCCTGATGGTGCAGCATTGTTATTATTATCTAATCCATGAGTCATGCCTTCTGAATGTGTGCAGGCCCAGACCCAGCCGCCATCATGTCGAGCAAGCGTGCAAAGGGAAAGACCACCAAGAAGCGTCCTCAGAGGGCCACCTCCAACGTCTTTGCCATGTTCGACCAGTCTCAGATCCAGGAGTTCAAAGAGGCCTTCAACATGATCGACCAGAACAGAGACGGTTTCATCGACAAGGAGGATCTGCATGACATGCTGGCCTCTCTGGGTACACGGACATGTTCTAACCACATTTATGGCCACAAAAAACAAATAAATGTGACTTTAAATGTGATATTAAAGGGCCACTCCAACTATTTTACAAAAATGAAGTTCAGTTTGCTCATCATGCGGAGTACTACTACTACTACTGCTGACATCATCAGGGTTATCTCGGTTTGGCCTTGGACACTACAAATTTATAGAAGAACGCTATCATAACAAGCTAGGAGTGAGGTGTTTGTAAGATATGGTCATTTATCAGGGGTAGGGGGTCAAAAAAAAAAATACTTTAGAGCTGCATCATGGGAAATTTAGCATCCAGTGTTACTGGAGCTAAAAGTCAGGATATCTTGGCCTGTGCAGCCTCAATTTTGACCATTCAATTTTTAGTCTCTCTTGAGTTTCCAAACTTTGTGAAAAAGTAATGCTGAATTGCTATAGTATGCCTTTAATTTCTTGTAAATTGAATAAAGAAATAAATATGTGGCTCTGAAAGGTGCCCTCTAAACTGCTGTACTGCGCTGTTAACTTTAAGGGGCACTCGGCACTCTCCTCCCTGTGATTTGGATCGGCTCCAGAATTTCATCGGCTCTTACTTGGCCCATGCCATACCTTACCACCAAGTTTCGTGAAAATTGGGCCAGTAGTTTTTGCATAATCCTAACATAATCCAAACAACCCAACCCAAAACATAACCCCTTTGGTGGAGGTAATTAGTTCTTTAACAAAATATGCTAAACGCTATTTATAGGAACAGGTTTCTACGGTATTAGCATGAAGAAACACTTCCTGGTGTTTAGTAGCCCCCAGAAAAAGCAGATACATTAACATTTACATACATTAGATAACAGTGTTCTCTGTCCTCAGGTAAGAACCCCTCTGATGAATACCTGGAGGGGATGATGAGCGAAGCACCAGGGCCCATCAACTTCACCATGTTCCTCACCATGTTTGGAGAGAGGCTCAACGGAACGGACCCCGAGGACGTCATCCGCAATGCCTTTGCCTGTTTCGATGAGGAGGGATCTGGTGAGTCAGTATACACAAAATACTCTATATACAGATCTTGGCACTTAGTGTTTCTGAGTTGTTCTATTGTTCCTGCTGCTGTCGCAAAGACAACCACATCACTTTGTGTTTTCCTCAGAGTCTAGCAACTACCGATAACACAGGACAGGACTTTGGTTGTTCCACTGTCTGTTATTCTGCTACTGGGGATGGTAACTGCAAAGAACTTACATTAGACGTTTTCGAGATTGGAGGAACTTTTTCATAGCTCAAAGAACACAGTTTTAAGAGCCCCCCTTTTTATGGTGTCCGCATCACAAGAACTAGGGACGATTGTAGTTCTTAGAACGCAGTTTTGAGGGTAATTTTTAGCTCCTGTTTCAGAGTCCGTACTATTCCAACTCTAGAGACATTTTGAGTGACATAAGTGAACAGTGATTGGAGGAACATGAGCCATTGCAGCACTGACAGCCGCCATTTTTAAGAACGCAGTGTAAACAACATACAACACAAACAGCTTGTAATGAAAATGTGGATGAAACTAAGGACAAATCAACCAGCAGTAAAGCCAATGGGGTTACTTGAGCATGTATGCGAAGGGGGAAATGCAACACTATTTTGACTCGCCCAAGAAAATAAGCCCTTGAAGGTTTCCAGTTATCAAAGGACCTCCCCAGTAGGCAGCTCTCTCAGGAAGTCCCCAACCGTTTGATCAAAAAGTGCCTGTTGATACTCTTTAGTAACTGGGGATAGCTACTGGGGAAAACAAAAGCGATATCCTCTTCCTGTTTTGGTTGCACAATAGTTAATGCACTTCCGTTGTGCCATAAATTGAGCCTATGTTTCCCCAGAAGATTGTAAACGGTGGCAGACAGAATTGCACAGTGAACGTGAGGGAACCAATCAAGATACAAAATGGTGTCATTTTTCTATAGCCATGAACTTGTGCAAGCAACTTCTGCGTCTTAAAGAAAAAAAAAACGCGTCTATTTTGACTTTAATGGGTGTTCTCTTTGTCTAAGGTGTGATCCATGAGGACCATCTGAGAGAGCTGCTGACCACCATGGGTGACCGCTTCACAGACGAAGAGGTGGACGAGCTGTTCCGCGAGGCGCCCATTGACAAGAAGGGCAACTTCAACTACGCAGAGTTCACCCGCATTCTCAAACACGGTGCCAAAGAGAAGGATGACGAGTAGACGGAGACATCAGCTGCCTCAGGACCCCCTGAACATACACTGAACCACAAATCAGTCCTTAGCTCCTACCTTCATGGACCTTGTAGGTTTTAGAGAAAAGAAATAGGAATAGTATATAAAGTCTTTTATATAGGAGCAGAAGTGGCTATGTTTTTGATAGGTAGGGGCTTGGGATTCATTTGGGATCCACGGAAACATTTTGCAATACACTACTTTTCAACTTATATCATCATTGAAGGTTACCATGAAGAGAAGTGTATGTGCATCTCAGAGCTTCATGTCACTTTGACTGCTGGGTGGATGTTTGAGATGCATCAAACATCATGTATGTGTGTGCGGGGGTGTTTTTGGACTGTGCGATCCGGTGCCACATAGAGTACCAGCAATGTTTACCTCTTCCTGCCAATTAGCTACAGTACCACACCTGCACAAGCACTGCAACAGGTCTCCATAACTGTAATGTTTGTATCCCTGTATATTAAAAATGGATTTTAAAGAAGCGACCATTCTGATTTTGTTTATTAAAAGTGGTGAGTACTTGATGAAATGGTTTGTTGTAGAGCTTTCAGTCTAAAGTCTTTGACCCCTCAGCTGGCTGTGTGTATTTGTTGAAGGATCAAGTATGTTTGTGTTGTTGAAGGAATTCAGTCTTGAATTGTTCCTCAGACAAATAAAGTAAGTTCATTCGTGCCGTTGACCACAAAAAAAGTGTATATGTATGTTTGGGGTGTTTTGAAGTCCTGTTTTCTACTTACGTCACATGCTTACATCATAACCAGCGTAAATGTTTTCCTACAAAGCAGTACACTGTACTTTACACTACCACCATTTTTCAAAGGACTCTGCAGCTTGAGCTTTAAACAAGAGCATGAATGCACTAACCTGAATATATTTTTTTTCATTGTAAATGAATGTAACTAAGTGTTCACTACTGCAAGCAGCTATAAACTGAAGACTAAACTCAGTCATCAATTCACAAAAAAATAAAAACAATAACTCAAAGTAATGTGAATAATTTGTAGTTATTTGGCTAAAACATGCAATAACATTAGTACAGTCCTTTACTAAGGCTTTGTCATTGGCACTGTTGGCTGCACCAACCACCAAGATGGACCATCTCCACTGTCTGGCCAAAGCGTGCTCGACTGCCTCAAGTCAGGTTGCAGTGAGGTCAGATGGGCTTCGTCAACATTGTTCATAACACTGATAAAGGAGCCGTCAAAAGAGTGATGCATATTTTATGTCAGCTCAGTCCTCCGAAGAAAATGTTTGCATTGTACATTTCTGCAAACCATAAATGTGTTATATTTGTACGTTTCATTCGTATCATTCATTCATCAATTTTCTGTAACTGCTTATCCTGCTGGGGGTTGTGGGTGTGCTGGAGCCTATCCCATTAGCAAGAGGCAGGGTACACTCTGAACAGGTCGCCAGACTATCACAGGGCTGACGCATAGAGACAGAACCATTCACGCTCACATTCACACCTACGGACAATTTAGAGTTATCAATTAACCTGCATGTCTTTGGACTGTGGGAGGAAGCTGGAGTACATGGTGAAAAAACCCACACTGACATGGGGAAAGCACGCAGGTTCCACACTGGGTTTGGAACCGGGAACCTTCTTGCTGTGTGGTGACAATGCCAACCACTGTACCACTGTGCCGGCCATATTTCAAATCAGCCCTGTCGTCAGAGAAAATATTGGCATTGTACATTTCTGCAAACCATAAATACGTTTCTGTAGTACATTCCATTTGTATCATTAAGTTTCTAAAGTGGCGTAGTTCTTGATTACACCATCAACAAAACTGGGCGTTTTTAGCGAGACATTGCGGCATTTCCAGCTGTGATTGTGGCACCTAAACCGGGTATTTTAAACCATAACATGATCTTTTAGTTTTTATGCCTAAACATAACCACACATTAACCACAGAGTTGTTGAAAAACAAGTTTCAACTCATCTGCTACAAAATAGTGTTCAAACGTTACTTATCTGTGATTTGCAGAAACATACAATGCCAATATGTATTCCAGTGACTGGGCTCAAAGCATGCAAATAATTTAATTCACTGTGCCATTCACAAGTTACAGGCAACTTCTAAGGTGGAAGTTTTCTTGGATGCTACGCTATGCACAAATCAATCAACACACCTTTAATGATATATACTCTGACCATTCTATTTGGTTTTATTGGCTCTCTTGCCTGACATTAGGTGATGAATGAATCTCTAAGCCTTTAAAAAAGGTATATAAATTTAAATTATATTAATTATGGGCAACAAGTGTACAAGTACAATAAAGTTTTTGACCACAATAATACCAGCAGGGCGGACAGAAAAATGTTCCATCGGTTTATTTACAGACACACCCTCAAGTGGGTAGCCCTTTTGTATGGGCATCCTTGCTGCACTGGGCTGATGTGCTGTGTTAAACCGAGTCAAGTTAAGCCAGCACAAGAGGATGGAAATAAAAAACCCTTACTTAACCCAAACAGTTTGGAAGAATGGTGTGTTAATGTTGTGCCCACCGGCCTTTTTCACAGCAGACATTTTGACTTGTCATAGTAGGAAATACACAGGTGTTACTAATGACATTAACAATACCTCTCTAATATAAGTATATTAAGTAATATAAGTGTCCCAGTAAGTCATGACAGTGTGACAGTGACCCAGCATGCACAGTACCAGGACACTACTGCTGTGACATGTCACAATGTCTTCCATGTAAAAGGCTATTGTGTGAAAGAAATTGTTATAAGGATACAATTTTGTTCTCTAAAGTAAACTTGAGCTTTTACAGGCAACAAAAACCAATAAGAAAGAGCATGTAAGAAAAACTGAACTTTTATTTCTTTGAAATGTTTATACAAAACACACATTTAAAGTTTAAGGCATATATTGCACAGACTATTGAGAAGTTTTTATATATAAAAAAGGGACATCATCCCTCAGTCGTAGGTTTAAGGCACAGCAGCCAGTCATACTGCCAACGGTCAGTCATGATTCACAACATGAACTTGAAAAACATTTTTGAATGCATTTGGCTGTAAGAAAACTATATAGTTTGAGATAAAGTTCATGCCAATACAAAAAAAAAACAAAAACAAAAACATGACCTTGAAAATATTTACACGCATCATCACATTGTCTGATCTGATTGGAGCATCATGTTGCATCTAAAAATCACATAGAAACCTTGCTATTAAAAAGAAAACAAAAAAAAACACAAAAAAACCCACATGCCTGCCTAATCTTTAGCCAGCCATTTCCAGTATCTAAACCGATAAAGGTGTTGTCACAGTGGCATGATGTAGTATGAACAATAAAATATTACTTTAATACTTAGTATTCTACATATGACCCAAGCCTGACATGATCTGTGTAAATTGAGGTATAAATGCACATCAGTCTAGTGAGTACCTGTAACAAAAAAAAACAAAAACAAACTCCTCTAGTGACGTCCACAGCGCATTACTGGCAGTGAGAAGGGACAAACAAAATAGAAGTGGAAAGAGTTGATATCAGCCGTATCGTTTTCGCAGGGTATGTGCTCAGCAGTACTCTGACCTGACATCAGACAGACATTCTCCTTCTGTCCAACTCCTTGCACATGTAAATTGTAACCGTTATAACCAACCACAGCTCAAGACACTGGTGAACAAGACAGTATTGAAGATTTGATGCACAATCCTGCTAAAGTATTATTCACATCGGAACTCTTCCACATGACGCTACTGTTAATAGATGCCCTGACGGCATTCAGCCTTATATCGCGGATTATGCTACGACAGTTTCATGGAAACTACAGCTTTATGAATGATTAGAAATCTCTAGAAACCATTTCTAAACACAGGTGGAAAGCACTGATGAGGAAAAACTTGGATTTTTATGCTGGGAAGGAAACCCCCCCAGCAAATTCCAGCTATTTCAGTAAATGTGCTACAATTGCATTGCCTACGCGCTACATGCATCAATTCATCTTTGCACTAGTAAGACATTCAGGTTTGAAATACACAGACCAAATCATAAGGCCCCAAACTGACAGGGAAATCGGAATAATTTTATCTCTACCAATGTTTAAAGTGAATTCGCACCACAGAAGATAAAAGGCGCCAAGTCTTGCAGCAAGTGTAACGTTTCAATCCAGGAGCTGTGAGAGCTTGATGTTATCAGATCGCCAAGCTGCTCACCTCTCAACTGAAATCGATTTCTGTAACAGATCCAATGTGACCCTCTCCCCTTCGTCCTATATCAATAGCCCTCCCCCCCTCAACTACAATCCCTGAAAGTCGCACACAACTGATCATGGTCGCATAAAGTGACGGACATGACTGCCTCGCCTTTGGCTAAAACACAGAAAAGATGTTTCTATGGCAAACAAAGAAACACGTGGTACTTGAGCGCATGTGTTGAGTGGCAGAGAGGACAATTCTTCTGGGCCAATGAATCCCGTTAGCTATAAAAAGACAGGAAGACAGGAAGGAGGGGCAGGATGGAGACAGACACATTGAGGCGAGTCATTCAGTCAGGCTCGCTGCAGTACAATCAATTCCCCTTCTGCTCAGCTCTGAGGGAAAAAGAGATGGAAATATGCTAGAGAGAAAACCAGACCGAAATCTGCATTACTATGATGGTGTTGCTCTGCGTGGGGGATAAAAAAAAACAAAAACAAACACTCATGTCCTCCTTTTTTATCCTGGAGAGGAATGGATGATAGGCAGCCTAGCCAATGATATCAATGTCTTTTGTACATTCAATAAAGTCCAGTACTGCTACTGAAGAGGCTAACTGCTGGTCCTGAAAATGATACCAAAGTACATTGTGTACAATTAAGGGATATTTCCTCCTCATCCATTATCTGTCACGTGGAAAGAGATTTGAAAAATCAGCATCAAAAACTTTGTACAATACATTTACTCTGCTCTGTCAGGAATGTTCTTTGTGAGAAATGACATCAAAGTGTTCTTACCAGCAGGTGTCTCCATCAAGAACAGCATATTTAAACAATAAAAAGTTGCTTTAAACAGCAAGTCTCTGTAACACCCCGTAATTGTTACTTCATTGTGTCCCAGATCTCGTTCCCTGTATTCTGCAGGCACAGGCATTGATGACAAAAAGGGGGACTGGTGATGCAGATACATTCTCCTATATACAGTGTTGTCCAGCCAACAGGAGTGTTTGGCCTCTCTCCTCCGCATATATATATATATATATATATATATATATATTTAAAAAAGGTGCCAACTTCCAGCTCCTAGTTCACAGTTTCACTCACTGTGTGCAGGCTGTGCTGAGGGCCCCACACTGTGGTGATGGGGGTCTTTACAACTTGAAGAGAAGTGGGTTGCCTTGTATCAGCATGGACCATGCTCCAAACACTGGGCACCACTGCTGTGTTTCTCTGTGCACTACTATTTATACTGCTACTGCTGCTGCTGGTGGTGGAGGAGGAAGGCTGAAGAGGAGCAGTGAGGTGGGAAGCAAGGCCCAGGAGAGGTGTAACTGTTGGCGTAGAGGAGGATGTTGGGGCTGAAGTAGGGAGAGGAGTTGGAGTTTGGGCAGAGGCAAAGACTGGGTTGTGAACAGGGGCTGGAGACGACGCTGTGGTTAAAACTGGTGGTGATGGACAAGGAACTGTGACTGGGATTATGGGGGATTTGTGGAACGGCACGTAAAGAGGGACTCCTCTGGGGTCTGTGAAAGAGGCGATGGCTGGAGAACGAGCAGCTGGAACAAGCGCTACGGTGTGGGGTGACGCCTGGCTTGGAGCAGTGACGGAGGTGGGACTTGTGGCTGGGAGGACTTGCGATGGCAACGAGACTGGCCTTGTGGCTGCCACTGACGCACTCGTAGGACACACGGTGGGCAGTGGAGCTGGAACTGAGCTTGTGGCTGGAGCTGGGGTGAGGGCTGGAGCAGCAGCTGGTTTCTGGGAATTCGGCTGTCCTAAAACTGAGGCAGGCACTGGCACTATGGTTGGCAGATGGGCTGGGGTGAGCTGAGTCTGATTTGGGCTGGAGGCTCTGGCAGTGTCCTTCTCCAAGGGACTCCAGATGACTTTATTCATCGGGAGAGGAGATAGCCTTGGGGCTGGGACCAAGACTGGAGCTTGGACTGGACCAGAGGCTGCTAAAGACAGAGGCACTGGAGCCTTTACTGAAGTTACAGCTGACGCAGGAACAGCCATAGCCTTCTCCATCAGACTCTGCACCCTGGAAGGATCCATGACTTGCTGGTTGTCCTCTGGAGGCGGTGTAGGTCCCATGTCACTACCGTAAGCATTGCACTGTGCCTCCACTGGTTCAGTCTTTACAGCCTCTGTAGGTCTGTTCTGGCTTTCCTGGAGCCTCTTCTGATTCTCCTGCTCTGCTGCCCTCTGAAGAGCAGCATCGACCAGGAGCCTCAAGTCGCTGAAGTCCTGGCTGGGGAACAGCTCGGGAGGAGTTGGGGGAGGCGTGTTGAAGAGACCACCGGTGGGGCTAGCTGCCATTGTTGTGCTGGTGAGACAAACCGTATTGACCCCCTGCTCCTCTGCTTCTCTCAGCAGACTTTGTGCATCGAGCTTCATCAGCGCCTGCACCGACCCTTCCTTACCAGGGTAGCCCGCTCCTGTCAGAATAGCCGTTGCTGTGCTCCCAAGGAGACTGAGGTCCAGTGTAGGGGCAGAGCGGATGACAGACGGGCGTTGTTGAGATGAGGAGGTGGAAGAGTTGCTTTCTGGAGAGCTGGCTCTGCCTCCATGAGACGAGTGGCCTTCACTTTTACTGCCAACCTTGCGGGAGATAGTAAACTTGGTGGGATCTTTGCCATCTTTGCGGAGCAGGTCAGGGAGGAGGCGGCGACGTGCGTTGATGAACCAGTTACATATCTGGGAAAAGAGGAGGAAATTCTGATATAAACAGACCTGATCGCAGCTGCTGTCATGGATGTTTTACTTTGATAAAAGACAACCAGAAGTCAGTCAAAGAGATGCACTTTTACATTATTCTTTTGAGGACCTGCACTGATATCATTGCAACACTTTGATTCATCTTTTACTCAACAGCTTCAGTCACCCTCAATTAGCCGGATCCACAACTCAACTCTTGCATCACATTCAAGATCTAAAAATGATCCGAGGCCTGAGATTTTAATAACCGCCTACACGTTTTTCTTCATCTGTCTGCACGAGGCCTTACTTACCCCCTCTAGTGGTTCAGCCTCCCACACAAGGAAGAAAGAGTGGGACAGACAGAGATGAGAGCCCTCAGACAGCTGGCAATAATGAAGGTCTGAGCTCAAATATGCTGAGCCACAGAGAAGCCAGCCAAATGCATTCCACTGAACTGACTACATAACAAGGAACTCTGCTGCTGCTGCTGCCTCACGCTGGTCTTTAATGCTTTCTCTAACGCTGCCTCTCTGTTTGTGCGTGCCTACATGTTGAGAGGGAAAGAGGAAATGTCTACTACTGATGCAATGAAGTGAAAAGGGAAGGCTGGGAAAGTCTCCATCTCAAGCAGCAGTGTGGCGATACCATCTGATTTTTGTTTACTAGTTCGCTGTGTTGGTTGAAAAGCTGGTCGCAAGTGTTGGTAAAAAGTAGTATCACTGTCGTGTAAAAACAAGAACTGATCGCACAAGAGTGAGAATCATGAAAAAGATATTATGACTGTAGTTTAAACACCTTTCTTGTGTGCAGCAATAGACTATAGTGATAAATTGAGTCTGGTGTGCAGGTCACGAACAGCCTTTTGTGCAGTACAAATATTAGCAGTAGAAAATAATATTCAGTATCAAAGCTACCTTTATTGAATTGAAAGCACTGCTTCTGATGTAAAAATGTCAAAATGAATACACAAAAGCTTTAAAAAAAATTCAGATAAAACGTGTAAAAGCTTAGATTTATGTGTATACTCTATCAAAAACAAATAGAAAACGTGAAGACAAATGAAAATGTCAAAGTTGATCATCTCTACTTAAGAACAGGAAACAAATCCGCCAGAATGCAGAAACAATGTGCTCCACAAGTGTTATTTCCTCTGTTAAGTACTGGGTGCTTCTGGGAAAACAAAAAAAATGTATACACTGATTAAAAATCCACTCCTCACCTGCAGCACGGAGAGGTTGGTCTGGCCCGACAGACTGAGTTTCTCCTGCTCAGACGGGTAGGCGTTGAAGCGGTGCTCGTACAGCCAGCTCCGCAGGATCTGCACCGCCTCCTTGGGCAGGTTGCCGCGGCGACGGCGCTTCCCAAAGAGCCCCCTTCCTGACAGGTCGAGCGGGGAGCCGTCATCACTGTCCGACACAGCCGAGGAGTGCTCCTGCTCCGGGCGATGCTCTTCTTCCAGAGCTGAGGAAAAAGGAGGTGTGTCGTCAGTCACGTTCAATCAGTGTGTCATTCAATCATCCTGTTTATATCAAATCTGCCAATCACCAGGTATACAGAGGTAGTTCTTTGTGTTTATTTTATGTGTCTTTATTTTGCCTGTTATGAAGCATGAAGAAGGGAGAAGATCACATCTTGCATGAGCGGCCATACATTCACTCAGGCCTTTGCAGGGTTTGGTTTGATCTACTTTTATGCACAAAATGAAACCTAACTACTTCTTCATGATACCAGGAGCCAGTGAGAAGAGGCTAGGCCAAAAACTAAAGCAGTGGTTTGTACTGATTTGACACTAAGCAGTGAACAAGTGCACAAACCTCCTCAGTTACTTTTAACCTCATAATTTTACTGATTTAAAGTGAGGTTTGCATAAGCTTCACGGTCTGAACATATTTAAACAATGGCTTTGAGGATTGAACTTTGTTGTGGGATTTTTTTTTTGTGTCAGTCTATGGTTGGCCACTGGAGAGAATCTCCCCTCAAAATGGAGCATGCCTGATCCCAGGGGTGGGCCACAGAATGCAGTAAATGTCTTTCTCTGAGGCTGGGTGAAACCTGACCCCCGGGGGCAGCGCCTGTCTTCACAAAGAAGATTGTGTGCATATCAACATCACAGTAGCCACTGGCCCAGGAACCTATTGACCATGCAAAGGAGGCCGTTTTCACCTCATGCCACTTCGGCTCAAGACTGCTGGAGTAGTTGACAAATCTTTTGAATTCTGCATTCCTTGTCAGTGAGGGAAGTCCTACACCAAGCAAGAAAATTGGGGGGGAAAAATAAAAACACACAAATGCAAATTCAATGCAGTTGCCCTGATTTCTGTAAAAGAGCCTCGCTTTGCCCCTAAAATTATTGTTTTAGAGCAGGGTTGGGCATTGTTGATTGTCAATTTCTTCTGTGACCTAATGATAAATTTGTGTCATGATTCACCTATTGGACAAATTGTTCTTCTACGTAATGATTCTTTGCAAACAAAGCTAAAACATTAAGTTTGTCGAGTGTGCTGTCTGATATAATACAGCCACAGAACATGATTAATTACACTAGAGCTGCAACAATTAATTGCTTAGTTGACAACTATTGAATTAGTCTTAAGCTAATATGACAATCAATTGTTCTGTTTGAGTGTTTTTTTAATTTAATAAAGTAAAAATCGTCTGATTACAGCTTTTTGGATGTGAATATTGTTGGTTTCCTTTACTCTTCTATGACATTAAAGTAAAAACCTTTGGGTTTTGGAGAAAACAAGACATTTGAGGATGTCATTTTGGGCTTATATCAACATTTTTTGCCATTTTCTGACATTTTATAGTCCAATTAATTGTTAAAACACTCAACAGATTAATCAACAAAGATAATAGTGATTAGTTGCAGTCCTACATTAGATTGAACATCACTTCAACTATGATTTTTCAATTCGATTTTACTTACATTTGCCAGAAACATTCCTATTAATATTGATTTCAATCATACCACCCATCTGTGTTAAAACTCTTGAGACTGCAGTAAAATGTTAACAATTTCTGCATCAAATCAAGTCTAATATGGTCTAACTGAGTCTAAAAATACTAAAGCGTGTAAAACCAGTATTACATTAATAAGCCACACTCATGGTTGACAGACATCCTTGGCTATCCTTACTGAGAGAAAGGATGTGGCCCACAACAAAGTTACACCCCCTCAGCTCCACAGGATCATTGGAAAGACATTTAAAGATTTATCAGACTATTTACACCCATTCAATGTGGGATTAATTTGATGAAACAAACAGCCAGGACAGATTTCAGACAGATGCAAGCTTAGTACATTATGTCACATCAGCACGAGCTACGTGAAACATGTCACAGACAGGCAAACTGACCAACTTTTTGTTTACTAAAGGTCTACTAACAATGTGGTAAATCTGTGCGAAGGAAAAGTGGTGTTCACATTTAGAATATGTTTTAAAAAATTAGGTGAAATGGTGGTAAAATTTAGCTTGTAGACTCGACAGTGGAGTAAACTTCACAACATACTCAGTCTCCAGTTGGGAATTTGAATCTGACCGTTAGAAACGCCACCAACGCTACTCACCGAACATCAACTTCACAGAGCAGCTCGCTTTGTCAAAGTGATAACGTCATACTCGGTGAAATGACGTCCTCGACAAAGCCTCTCGAATAAAGCTAAATGTTACCTTCAACCGACACAAACCGAGGAGCTACTCTGTAAATTAGCCATCTGGACCCGCACAAAGGAGGCAGGCAGGAAAGCACAGCCTCCCGCATGTCACGCCGCCAGATGGACACCATGCCTGCCTCCAGAGATAACTAGCTGGCTAGCTGTCCCTCCAAATTTGAGCACAAACACACGCTGCATTTGCTCGCGACAAAAAGCCCGCATACCAGACTAAAACCAACAGCGAAGACACAGCGGGCTCACAGGCAGACACTTATAAACGTGCACGGCCGTGATAAAGAACACGACACGAGTGCTGCTCACCTCGTTTGAATGCTTTCATTCTTTGTTGATGGCTTGCTTGAAAACACGCAGCTGTCCAAGTTGCTTGCTGTACAAAGCGTGCCCGCGAGCCAAGCGATGGTTGACACAACGGCACTTTCTTCCAAGAAGCTGAAGGTGTTGCGCTTTTTTGACCGACTTAAATGCCTCGCTTTTGGGGTTCTGCCGCACGGAAAGGTTTCACCGGAGACTCCGTTTCCATCGCACTCCTCGCTTTCTGCCAAGATAAATGTTTTCTGTTTTGTGTCGCTTGTTTCTTTTTACCTGCACGCAGCAGCGCCAGCTCTTTGCCAATCTTGACAGTCGGAGCTGAGATGATCCCGCCTCATCGACAGCTGTCAACCAATCACGAGCCTGCACTGCGCCTCCTGGGCCGCTGTCAGCCAATCAGGGCGCTCCGCCAGACAGCAGACGGGCTCCGTGTAATTGTGACTGACGGGAGAACCATTTCATTCAAAGTACAGCGCAGTCATTGAAACAATGTTATTTTCTCGATGCGGTTGAAATCCCATATCGACATCGACACACGTATAAATAGCACCGCAGTCATCTTTACAACCATTGTCGTCGTTTTCATCCATGTGTGCGTGACACAGATACACACTGTGGAGAGGCTTTACGTAACGCTGTGCAAAATGTTCTTGTTACATAAATCATAAGCGTCGAAAGCGTCCGCTGGTGTGCGCATTTCACTACTTCACAGCACAATTAACCGAGTTACTTCGACTCACACCGCCTGCAGTCACGTCTGATGTGATATTCAGACATCAGCTCTACAGTTGGTCTGGCTCCAGGCGTGTGGGGCGAATACATGCTGCTGCAGAGGTGTTGTGATGCTTTGATTCCTCAAAGTCTCAGGGAGACACCTCGGGCCGCATGAGCTGCAGAGATCAGATTTTAAAAATGAAGTTACTGCAAATTAGCATCAAACAAAAGTAGCGATCTGCCTGTTGTACCCAAATCTTAATTATGTGTCCAGATTTGTGTCACAGTGTGCTCTGGGGCTGGAGAGGGGAGGGCAAAGCAAGAGGAAAAATGTGCATGTGATTGACTCAGATTTGAAGTTATTCACATCCAAATTTAGCAGGTTTTGAAAAGCAAAATGCAGGATCAGAAACATCTCGTTAAAAGTGAGCAAACATCTTCAAAACAGTAATCAAATACAGCCATGGTGAACTTTTTGAGAAAGTATCGTGTGCATTTTATTGAATGTTACGTCTCTCCATTATACATTTGAACAACCTTGAAATAGTATAAATAGATCTACAGCATTGTAAAAGATGGAGTTTCTCAGTCTGGTCTATTTACAGAAGACAACTTTAAGAAGCACAGGGGGGAGAAATGCAAGATTATTAGTTTAATTTTAATATCAAAGAACCCTTTTACTCAGTATTGCACATGTACTTTAAATGTTACCAGAGTATAGTGACAAGAATCTAGGTAAATCTCATTTTTAGGAACAACACACCCTCTCACTCATTGACTTTGTCTCAAACAATACAAGCCTTTTATACGAAAACCCCACAGCCCCTGACATACACACAGCCTATAGAGTATTACACTGAACACATCCTAGTCTTTAAAATATGTGCTTGCTTCATAAAATATTTGTTCTAGTATTTTTACAGACACTTTTTGCTATATCATATCTCTTGTGGAAACAACTCGGCCCCTCACCCCTTCCCCAGTTTGATGCCAGACTCAGGGGAACAAAGCACAGATGCTAATGAGCTTGTTTTTTCTTTTCTTTCCGAGCAGGCCTTTGGACTACTGTATGGGAGTGGATTCACTGGTGTCACAGCTAAGGTATGCTTCGTCCTGGGATTAAACTGTCTGTCTTATGGAAGCCTATTTCAACCTGTGTGATGAAAAAAAAGATCAGAAGTCATTATGAGAAACTTTCCCAAAATAATGAGTAACTTATAATTACTCAGTACTGTTTCTCATTATTACAAGATATTGAGTCAATATTTCCAGTTACTACTCCATTATTTTGAGATAGCAACTCATGATTTTGAGAAAGTTGTTATTTTCAGATACTAAGTCATTACTTAAAAATACTAAGTTACTAGTATGAGATAATAAGTCATTACTTTGAGATAAGTAATTAATTTTGAAAAAGTTTCTCATGAATTTGAGATACTAACTTGTGATTTTGAGAAAGTCTGTCGTTATTTTGACATACTCAGTCTTTATTTTGAGAAATCTCCTAATTTTTGAGATACAAAGATATGTTTGAGATACATTTTAAGATTTTTGAAGATATTAAGTCATTTATTTGAGATAAGCAAGTAAGTATGAGAATGTTTCTCATTGTTTTGAGTTACTAACTCATTATTTTGAGAAATAATTTTGTGATTATGAGAATGTTCCTACTTATTTTGAGTTACTAACTAAAGTTTCTAGTTATTATTACTAGTTATTTTGAGATACCAAGTCATTATTTTGTGAGTAGTTATTTTGAGATACTAAGTCATTATTTTGTGAAAGTTTCTAGTTATTTTGAGTTGCTAACTCTTTATTTTGATAGTTTCTAAATATTTTGAGATACTAAGTAATTATTTTGTGAAAATTTCTAGTTATTTTGAGTCACAGAGTCAATATTTTGTGATAGATTCTAGTTATTTTGAGATACTAAGTCATTATTTTGTGAAAATTTCTAGTTATTTTGAGATACTAAGTCATTATTTTGTGAAAGTTTCTAGTTATTTTGAGATACTAAGTCATTATTTTGTGAAAATTTCTAGTTATTTTGAGTTGCTAACTCTTTATTTTGAGAAAGTTTCTAGTTATTTTGAGATACTAAGTCATTATTTTGTGAAAGTTTCTAATTATTTTGAGTCACTAAGTCATTATTTTGAGAAAGTTTCCTATTGTTTTGAGGTACTAATTCTTGATTTTGAGAAAGTTTCTGGTTATATAGTCATTATTTTGAGAAAATTAGCTTTTTCTTAAAGAGAGAAATGAAGTCTTTTTTTAAGATAAGTAACTCATTTTGAGAGTTTTTCATTATTTTGAGATATTAACCCAGACGAACCCAGAGTTTCTCATTGTTTCGAGATATTAGGTCATTATTCTGAGAAAGTTTCTAATTATGAAGACTTACGGGGTCTTTTTTTCATCACACTGGCATATATGTGCTTCCATGTAGTATATTCTCTTATCTTGTAGCCTCTACTGATCATACTTTTTGCTCAGCCCTGGAATGCAGAGAAATGCATAAACAATCTGAAAGGGTAGCTACACTTTATATAATGTGTGATGTCAATCCTTTTTTAGAGGTAAAAAGTAAAAAGGTACATAGATATCAAAGAAGATATGGTACAATTTGGATCATAGCCATCCTGTAAATAATTAATTGTATTTCCTCTTGCTTAACATTTAAACTTTTTTCCTTGCATTCATGGATGATAATATTCTACCAACTGCACTGTTGTGATTAAAGGAGGCACAGTACAAGCATTGAGAATCCACTTTACTTCTCAAAGTGAAGCTTTACCAAAACAGACCGCTGCTTAAGCAAATGCTGATACTATGACAGTTTTGACTTTAAAAGGCCAGATCCATCAAACCTATATGGGGGACCATTATCACCCTCAAATCAATGGCTTTACAGCAACAAACCCCCCCACAGTGCAGCTGTTTGGATCATGGATAACTCTACCCAGGAAATAGACCTAGGTGTGTCCCAGTGATATCTGTGTGTATTGGAGGGAAGCCTTGTTTAAATGTATGAGGTGAGCTCTCTTTTCTCTCTTTAAGTCTGTCAGTGACATCTCTTGGCATTTTACTCATCCAAGTTTTAGCGGGCTGGAAAAACATCACTTTTTCAGTTTGTGTTGGTGAGATCATAGAGCAACTTTCTCTGTGTTCCTGCCCTCCTTCCCTCAGCGTATGCGAGATGCCACATTGTATTTGATCTGCGTTCAAGTGAGGCAGGCCTGCGGTTTTGTGTGAGGAATGGTGACAGCAGGGTTGGGGCCTGAAAATGTGGCAAATGGGGAAAAAAAGGAAAATGATATGTTATGAAATTGTTTTAAATGTTAAAAATATTCTGGCAGTAGTTGCATATGGGAAAGATTTAAATCTAGTTGGTGCAATATATTGCCTTCAACCTACGTTGTTGACACAAAAATTATCCTTGAGACTTATTAAGATTGAATATTCTAATAATATCCATGACATAAATCATTCACAATGTGTTAATCACAATCTGTCTGAACACCGAGACATCACTAGCTCACTTCAGAAAAACAACTTGTCAGACACACAACTTTTTCCTGGCAGTCAAAAATCAAATCAAGCCAACGACGGCGTTCAAGTCACATAAAAGGCCTTCAGGTGCTAACGATGCTATCCACCCCACTAAAATGGAGGGGGGCATTGACAGCAACCAGGGAACAGACTATTGACACCCCTGAGCCATTTTCCTTGCTGAGCGTCACCCCCAGCCGGCAAACACAACAGACAAACAAAGACCCGTCATCAGGAGAAAGCTCTTGCCGAGATAGAGAGAATAGTGGTCATCGGGCTTTTCCAATTCAAAGCCTCAGGCTGCATTTTTGGGTCACAGTGGGTGAGGAAGAGGCATTGCAGCAGCCGAAGCAATGCAGTCTCAATGGTTTAACATAACTAATTAGGGAGGGGAAGTTAGGTTTGCTTACCATTTGGGGGAAGAAACCAAATGTGAGTGGAAGACAGGCAAACAACTGTGGTTGAATGTAAGGCATGTCAGGGCTGACTTTATGGTTGGATGTGTACTTTCTGAGAGAAATCCTGACTCACAAACCCAAAAGGCCTCTTTGTTTTGGGAACTGGCTTCAAATGAGACAGAGGAGTCTGTAAATATGTGTAATCCACACAATGTGTCCCCGTAATGCAAAACAGGGCAGGGCTGCATGTTGTCTTATAGGGAGAATGCCTTTTCATTGTATGCATACCACACTGTACTACATCTTGGATTGAAAATTAACCACTGTTGCCCTCTAGAGGTCAGAAATGAAAGTTGGCGGGCACGTGCATATGAAAACAACAACCCTGTAATACATGTGCTGTGGCTACACTCCACTCTATTTTTACAGTAAGCGCTGTTACTGTTGAGCTCCCTGCTGCTGACATTTAAATACGTCAGATGAATTAGAGACGGTGAATTCATCTTTGGCTTATGCAGTCTTCCTTAAAGAAAAAAAGCAAGCAGCATTTAATAAATGATGAAAACACAAAGACTAATGTATGCAATGCTTTAATTAAATATTTTTTCTTTGAATAAAAAAGTGCAGGTACTTTGGATGATGTTCAATGAGGGGAAACAAAAATGGTAACAAAGAACTAAGATTGATTTTTGTTGAGTGATGGGAGGCAAAATAAATCATGAATGCTTTTGGAAACATAGTATAAAAAAATAACAGCAAGACACATGTCCTAA